CGTGAAACACTTACCACCCCGATCATAACATTCACATCAAATCCATTAATGGCTGAAAGTTTCTCGGAACTCAAAAGGCAATTCGACGACTCGGATGGACCACAAAGATTTATTCAAGCTTCTAAACAATTTCAAACGGTAATGTGACTTCAGGTTTCTGCAGAGTATCAATCCATCATTTTAATGTAAACATCTTCAGAATTTAAACCGTTAATCTTATGAAGTGTTTAGTTTGCATTTACGATTGCTGAGAGGTTCAGACTTCATGCAGATTTCATCCGTATTGTTTCTGGTGAAGTGATAATCGTGTTCTACTTCATTGCAGGCAATGGGTACTGTTAGCGAAAATTCGTTGGGATCGAAAGAAGCAGAAACGGTGATTCCACAGGTGTGTACATGCAATTGCGTGTCTTCTTCATTCTCATCCAAACGATAGTTTAATTGAGTTCTATTCGCTTATTCTGTTTGTTTCAGGTTGCTGCTTCCGAGCAAACTGAGCCTCCAGCGTTGAGCAAATGGAAATCTTTTAAAGAATGTCGGCGAGAACGACATCACGAAAGAAGGAAAGCGAAAAAAGAGAAAAAACTGAAGAAACGCGCTGCCCGCGAGAAGGAGCAATTGCTTAATGCCGTGCTGAATGAAGACGAAAGTGTGGTAGCGGAAAGGTCGGAAGCTAGCGATAGAGGAGATGAGGAGAGCGGAGAATTGCTGTGGTACAATGCGGACGTCCCATCCAATGATGAACGTCAGAAAGCCTGTAATATTGACAAATCAGTGGACCCTCACATAAAGGATCGGGATATGGCAACTGATGAAGCATCAGAAGCAGTTCCAGAAGCACAGCACAAGAGAATTCGTCACGAATCTTTGAATGATGCCGTGGATGATGGGTCGTTTAGTACAACAGAACGCCACATTGAGCAAGAATCAGAACCAGGAGAGCTGGAGCCAGCTGCGAAACGGCCGAAACATACGCAGTCGGAAACGGTGGCCACGGTTTCGGAAAGCCGAAAAGTGGAGAAGGGAACTCAAGCGGACGAGGAGCGCGTTGCCTATAAGAGGGAAATTATTAAACGCAGAATGGAG